CCGTTACGTTTGGACCAATCCGCGGACTTCCTCACACACACACACACTCGGCGGGACGTTGCGAGGCTCGCTGCTGCGAGGAGCGGACACTGTGAGCCGGCTCACTGGTGTGGGGTCGGCGAGGCAGCGAGACACCGCGGAACTCAGCCTGGACACACACACTAACTCCCAGCCAGAATGCGGGTGTGTGTGTGTTCAGGCTGGGTTTCGCTGTCTCGCGTATTCCAGTACACCTCAACAATGGAATTATGATCAGTAGAAATGGCCGTGACATGGGACCTTTAAGATTTAAACTATCATCTATTCNCAGACGGCCACTGGGCTCACAGGGGGGGGGCAGGAGCTCCAACAAGCCGTTTAGGACAGAGAGTGAATACACATACTATACACAGAGATGCTGTATGAGAAACCAATGTGATTTTGGAAAATTGCACAATATAAATGTATTCCAGTATACCTCAACAATGGAATTATGATCAGTAGAAATGGCCGTGACATGGGACCTTTAAGATTAAAACTATCATCTATTATAGCATCTTAACCCTAAAATTATCATTATGTGATCTGATTTATTTTAAACAGTAACTTTATGACATATTTAAGTGAAATAGTAGCTCCTGTGTCTTCAAGTTATGTTTAAAAAGCATCTCCATTAGCCTGATGTGTAACCTGATGAAAGGGCGTGAGTGCATTCATCATGTATGTTGAACACTGCATATTAAGGCCCTTCTGTGTGAATGAAAGAAATGTAAAATCAATAATGTCCTCAGAATGGCAGCAGCACCCCGCTGAGTTATTTATTGATTCCCTTTTTTCAGGAGGGACCTAATTTCCCGGCCCGTTTTGATTTTCGAGATGAAGCTCAGAGGCAGGAAGTTTTCAGCAGAACGAGGTGAGTTCTCTTTAAAATCTGTTAACGGAGGAAGTGTCTGTTTTTCTGCAACCTTTGGCTCACAGGCGTTGACCTACAACCGGTTTAAGCCATTACCACGTCGCTGAGAGGCAATACACTATCTGTTGACAAAGTGAAGTGACTGTCATAGAATTAAAAGAGAAATACTTCTGGACGGGAGTGCGCCCAGTCCAAAAACATCACATAAACATATCAGGGACTTAACTGAGTGCAGAAAACAGATCATTCCTTACCTGTGAGGTGAAACCTGAGGCTCAGAAACCACCGGGCATGTAGAGACAAGAGGGAAGAGCGGGGAAAACACACAATTTCCCAGTGTTTGTATTCCTGTGTGGACAAATGCTGCCGTCTGGGGAAAGTGCATAACGTAAATGTAGCTGCTCCTAACTGCCCATTATTTGGAGATGAAGTGGTGTCTTTAGCTTGTGCTCTGGCGTGAAGCCTGTTGCAAGGGCCTTCAGGGTAAAATGATACGGGGTCGCTGAACAACAGAGGATGGCTTTGGGCTCTTTAGGATCGATTTCCATCTTCTTTCCTGTCTTTGTTGTCACGGGATAAATGCCACATACCTTCTACCTATAGATCACGATTGTGTCTTTCACATTGTGGAGAACAACTGTCTGAAGTCGGATCATGTTACACTCTCAGTCAATTGCATATAGGGTTAATTTTCCTAATGAGGTAACAGACAGTCTCCCCTTTGGTTCCAGTCATCTCTTATTGGACGGTCATTTACTTTACTGGCTCCCTGTGGATCAAGCACTTCACTCTGATTCACTTTCCAGCGCCTAGAGACCAATGCAGCTGTCCCTGGAGGTTGGAGACTGTCTTTGTGGTCGTTTGGGAGCTCTTCAATTACTTAAAATCATTGTGTTCGGTCTTTTACCCAGATTCTTATTTGCAGGGTGGAAGAAGCAGGTTTAACTTCCTGGAATTACCCTTAAAGTCACAATTTATACTTATTATTAAGGTCATTTCTAGGTAATGCAAGTGGACGGCCATCCACTGCTTTGAATGAAAACTGCCTTTAAATTAATATCAAACTCAAACAGAAAACTCAAAATTAAATGAATTGAAAAAAATGATATTTACGAGGAAATTATTTGAAAACATTTTTTTCTTTTACAATTTTAAAGTGTTTAATTGCTTTTTTTTATATATATATTTTTATCTCAAAACATAACCATACACACATATTTACTTTGTTCCTTTCACTCATCAGCCTCGCCTTCCATCTCAAGGCTTTACTGTATAAACATTTTATAAAAATAGAAATGGAACAAAACATGATACAAATATACAGTAAATCAAAAAAATAATAATACTGCATTACATTTTGTTCTTTTTTTTTAAACTGACATTTGACTTACAACAAATAACATGAATTCACATTATTGGGGGGGTTTATTGTTCAAGAAACTCAATGAATGGTGATGACTACATTTCTGTTTTTTTAGATACCGCATTTTATGCAGCAGCTCCTCCACTTGTCTATATGTCCACTCAGCAGAAGTCTTTCATCCAGCCTGGGAGGAGGGGAAAGAGATGGGGGGGGGACCATGTGGCGCCTCCTCTCCCTCCCCCTCCTCACCCCTCATGCTCCTCCTTTGGGGACAGGCGTGCTGGCACATGAAACAGCTGGTGTCCCCTGAAAACCAATTATAAAGGCCCCTAGCCCCCCGCCCGGCTGCATGTATGGGCCGGTCGGGGGGGAGAGTGTGATCGTTAGCTTCCACAGATGAGGCGTAACGAGGGGCCGCCATCGGGACCCTCAGATGGGACTCCCAGGATATAGATTTTACTGTCCAGACCTGGATGTATAGGTGGAAATTGGAAATTCAGATGCAGGAGAGGATGATGTTTTATTTATTGCGAATACTGTATATCCAGCATGGGTCCCGACTGGAGCGCTGTACAGATCTGGGGCTGTGGAGCATGTATTGTAAGCATATTTTTGCATGGAAAATAGATAAAAATCAAAAGTGAGTGAGACTTGTTTCTGCAAGCGGAACTTATTTAATGGAAAGCTCTCTTTTAATCGATGTTCCTAACAGGTTGTGGATCACTTTTGGACATAATTAACTATAATAAGGGGATCCAAGCAGGAGCGTGTTATTGATCCACTTCCTGCCGGGTGTTGATCAAACTTTTCAGCAGGGGATCTGAACGAGAGCCAGCCTCATTAAAATACATTTGTTATGTCCCTCGTGAGACCAAAAGAAAGATGGACTCGTTGATATTTAGCCTGGTCTTGCTAGAATTGGGAGACAAAATAAATTATAAGAGATTGAGGATTTTGAAGCTGCTATTTTCCTAGATATACTCTCTTAGATAAATACTGAGTCAGCCCGTCTGTTCGTAAAAGACCCAATATTGATTCAGGTCTTTCAATAAGGTGAATTGGTTTCTTTGAGGGTCTTTGGTTTTCTTTGATTTATTGACAACCTATCAGTAAGTCCCGCGACCCATTAATCAAGATGGAGACAGGCTTTCAGCGACCTTATGGGCTTCATTCAGTATTTTGCATCTCAATTTTATAACATCATTGCAGTTAAGAAACATTTTTTTAAATAATCAAAATTGATGCAGCAGAGGTGTTGTCTTTCCCCCCAGAGGAACCTTTGACAAAGTGACAAGCCAGCATGGAGCCAGAGATGAGGTCTGCAGAGGTCTGAAGTATTAAACAAACTTCTTTCACCAAATATTCATGTTCACACTTGCAGTCTTCAGGCCTAACCGTTGTGCCTCAAAGGAAATCACGTGAGGCACTTTGTCCTGATATAACAGAATTTGTCCTGTAACACGTGTAGTTTACAAAATGTCAGAAAAAGAAACTAAAATGTGCATCATCTTAGTTTAACGTGCGAGCATGCTAATATTTACTTCTTGGCGCTGGGGGAATGTGGCTCAGAAGGTAAAGCCACCAATTGAAAGGTGGTGGTTCGATCCCCATGTTTTTCTTGGGCAAGATACTTTACCATCTGTGTGTGAATCTATTTCGGAGCCTTGAACGTCAGCTTCTGCCACTGTACGAACGTGAATGCTGACATGTATATGTAAAAACACTTCGAGGGGACGCAAAGACTGGAAAAAGCGACATGTGAATAAATAAATGCTGTTTACCATTTAGCACAGAGTACAGCTGAGGCTTAACATTTTCACATTACATAAGGGGATTATCAACGAGCCATTGTTCAGCATTTGCCGTAAAGTTAGTGTAGGGATTGTCTCGTTGTTTGCTCTTCACACACAAAGTTTAGTTATTTGAGCGGCCGGTCAATGAAAGACAATAGAAAGTCATGAGAGAAAAATCTCTGCCCGGGAATATACAGCCCCTCTGGGTGATAAATTAACCCTGAGCCTCGTCTGAAAGGTCAGCGGAAGTCAACATAATCTCCTGTCACACACCTACACACACACATGCATGAATGCTTGCACATAATCCCTGTACACATGCTCACTGAAGCCCAACTTGGACAGATATAACAATCTGTGTGATGAATAAGTGATTGGTACAATAAATAATAAATAGTACACATTATTATCGGCAACAATGGTGTGACTTTAGTGTTTTTCCTCTGGCTTCACGACAGAGCCTATAAACAGATTGATACATAACGCAGAGAGACTGCAGATCTGTACAGAGGACCTCATCACACACCTCCAGCCCAATGTGTTAACGGTGTGTCATCTCTCTGAGTATGTGGCGGTGAGGTGTGAGACGACTTCTCGCTGTATAACACACTTTTTTATGGGTCTTTGGCTTCGAGGCACATTTTGGGTTCCCGGTGCAATTTTCACAATCAGGTGTAAAGAGCGTTAATATCCTCGCCTGAGTCAGAGTCCTCTTTTAAATCTCTCCTTACACAAACATCTCCGTTTTCTTAGATTTTCTTTTATCTTGTATCAATAGAATTGGTTTTTACCTATTTTATTCTGGGCCTGTTTTTGTCTATTACATAATGTTCTCCATTTGACGAATGTTCCATCTTTGTGTGAAGCACGTTGCAGCCTCGGTTTTGAAAAGGGCTTTATGCAGCAGCTACAAAACATAAAATAAAAGCCATTGAAGGAGCCTCATTTGAACTGATATATAAAATATGTAGTAGATTTGTTATCATTCAGGCCAGTTAGGAATAATTGGAACACATCCCAACTGTACTTGCCAATTATTTGTTATGCCCTTATTTAATAACGTCTTAGATGTCTCACATAGGGCAGATTTACAGTATTTGAACTGCAAAGTTTCTACTCAGCTAGGAGCCTTTTAGTGCCTTTTTAGTCTCAGTCTTCAAATTAGTTTAATAAACACAGTTTAAAGTCTAAGGTGACATCAGGTAGACATCTGGTTTCAAACTGTTTTAGTTTCCAACCCTTAACAGCGCTGCCATGCTTCGTTGGACCCCCTTCACAGGTAGCATAATTCTCTATGCTCATTAAGTTTTAATATTTCTCAAAGAAATCTAATATTTAGCATTTGAAAACAATCTGAAAAACAGTTTTTGGTCGAAGTGTTCCACTGGGTATCACAAGATTCACCGCATGTTACTTTATAGCAGAAATAAAGTGTTGTCCTGGCTCTCTTACTGGCTCAATATGCATTTATCTTAAAATCAGAAATGTATCGTGCAAATTCTTCCTTCTTTTAAGTATGCTTCCAGTGATGAGCACCTCACCCCTTGTTGGGCAGTCATTTTATAGAGTTTTGCTTGAATAATAATTTCTTAATTTGCTCTAATTAACCACAGTATTAATTGAAGCAGGCCCTGGCCTCTGTCACAACATCAGTTGAAATAACTAATAATATACTTCTTCTGCTTAGCCTACTTGCTAAATATTCCCAAATCAATTATGTTGTGTTTTATATAGTCCTCTGCCTGCACCTTTTAATTGGAGTTGGAGGAAACATGTTACACAGGATTAAGATGGTGGTCTAAAGGGGCCCTACTGCTAATTGTTGCATCAGGGCCCCTAGACCGCTAAAGAAGCTAGACACAAATAGATATTTTAACAAACAAATATATAACTTCAGCATAATGAATCCAGATAGTTTGTTATTATTATTATTATTATTGTTATTATTATTTAATCTTTTCTAGTTAAATAGAATGTTGACAGCTATGATGCACAACCATGATAATCAAGTAAAAAGGGGGGCCGGTTCCAACGCCCCCCAGGTGCATTTTTTGCTGTGATCACGTGTTGGTCCCGCCCCCTTCTTGCCGCCTCCAATAAAGCACAGCAAAAGTCACCGCTCCCCTTCTTCCTTCATGCAACCGAGCCCACAGCGAGGCAGGCAGCGCGGGCACGTAAAACGAAACCACCGGAGCCCGCGTGCGTGAAGCCTGCGCACAAAGATGATGAATTAGTAAAACAAGAGCTCCGGTAACAGGACGATCCGGAATCTGGGTCTCATCAGAGGACACATGTGGAGGTTATGTCCCTAGAAGAAGGCCAGGTGAGTCCTCCTCTGCGGGCGAACGCGCGTCGGTGCTTGGTGTGCGTCAGCGTTTTTTCGGTTTGACTGTGAATTATGAGAAGGGGGACTGGAGTTCGTGACAGATGAGCCCACAAACTCCTCTCATCTCGGCATCCATAATTCACAAGCCGCAGTCAGGCAGTGTGGACACGCAGGTTCCTGCAGAGCATCTTCAGGAGGCGCTCTTTAGAGACCCCCAATAATAATACTGTGACTGAGCGAGCATTAGTGCAGCAGCCATGAATACAGCCGGGTGATTGGATCAGCTTTAAGGCTTCCCTGTGTGTGCAAAGTGCAGTAATAACAATAAGAGGCGATATCATGCTGCATTCAGGGCTGTTATCACTGGAGAGCAGATAGCACACTCTCATTTAGGCCACTCTTGATTGATTTTTAATGACATTATTGTTTTCACCATGTCCTCATTGAATTCTGATCCTGTTTGCCCTCATGGTAATAAAGCCCAATGTTTGAGCGGCGTTAAAACAGCTTCATCATGCCTCGGTGCAACGTGCGTCAGATCTTGTGACGTCTAAAAAAGGAGCATTATGATGTTTCATACATTTGAAAAGTTTTATAGATTCAGCCAGTGTGAGTTTGTAGTGTCGGATTATCATATGCACACACTTTATGATTTAGTGTATTAACGCCCCTCTTTCTGCCCCCTCTTTAGCTTTAATAGGCTGCAGCGTCACGGAGGCAGCGCTGTGCGCACTGGAAACCCGGGATTCAATTGGTGGAACCAAGAGGGGAGCCCCGGCCTTTTTCACTGCAGGAGGAGCAGACTTAAGGGAACCGAGAGAGAGGAGGAAAAATAGAGAGAGAGAGCTCACTGCCAAGACAGCAGCAGCAGTGTGCGCAGTTTCCAAATCGGCACAGCCTCCTCTGCTGCACGGCATGAGGGACTTCACCCAAACTGCGCATTGACTCTGCAGGATGCACCTAGGCGCGTGCTTACTTTGTTAGACAGGCTGTTCAGGAATTTGTGACACAGCCCGACCACAGCTGCGACATTACCCCCTCCCCCCCCCAAACTGAGAGTTTCTCACCCCCTGCGCTCTGGCCTTGTGGTGGACATGGGAAATGTAAACAGTAGTCGGGCTGGATTGTAACTACGCACACTTCCCACGTCCTCCTCCCACCTCCTACCGGGATGGAGATGGAGACGGAGAGGGTCGAGCCGGAGCAGGAGAGGGAGGCAGAGCCGCCCATGCACAGCGTCCACGGGACCAACCGGATCCGGCCGTCCTCGTACCGGGCCCTGCGCAGCGCCGTGTCCAGCCTGGCCCGCCTGGATGACTTCACCTGCGAGAAGATCGGCGCTGGCTTCTTCTCAGAGGTGTTCAAGGTGAGAGAAAGTGCCATTGCTTTTTTTTTCTTCTGCAGGTTCAAAGTTTCCATTTTCAACTCCTCCAGGTCTCCAAAATCAAATATATGTATATGCATTTGATTATGCAAGATGGTTAGGCAAGAGTGTGTGCAGAACTACACTTTTTTTGACAGATCTTAGGGACTTCCTCACTTCATCCCTCACCCTCTATCACAGAAGCTGTATCCATGGCAACCAGTGCATCCTAATAAGCATGATGCTGCTGAGTAATTGCAGGAGGAAGTTGGTGATGGGAGTTTTTCTTTTTAAAGGATGGCGTCATGTTGGAAATGTACACCTCGCTGTCCTTCCTTAAGGTGCTCCGCTCTCCACACGTGTTTGCTCTGCACTGACCCACATGTTGTGTAAGGTGGTCTCAGTGTGTGTTGGTGTGTAACTGGATCCTATCAGGACAGGTAGATCCGACACACGTGGAGGTAACACTATCCCGGGTTCAGGACAACAACCTCACCCCCCTTCCTGTCACGCTGCCGTTCACTTGCATAGAGGCTAACTCTGAGAGTCGCCTGATTCGCCTCATTAAGAGTCGCCACATACAGAACAACAGTGTGATGGTTTGAGAGATAACACAACACAAAGGGAGGCTGGTCAGGGAGCAAACGGCTTCATGTTGGAAAGTGAACTTGGTTTATTTTATATAATGTTTGTTTAAAAGCAGAGAAAGTTGTGGATATTAATTTAGTCCACGAATAAGGAAGAAACAGTTAGGAGTCTAACCAGTAAATTCAGATTAATTGTTTCAGCCCTACTTTATGCGCGAAAATATGTTTCATAAAGCAGTGTCTTGTAATCCCATGTGATCAGCCAAATGTAAACAAACCATGTGCTATTACCAAATGTGATTCATACGACTGTATCGAATCACATTTGGTAATAGCACATGGTTTGTTTACATTTGGCTGATCACATGGGATTACAAGACACTGCTTTATGAAACATATTTTCNTGTGTGTGTGTGTGTGTGTGTGTGTGTGTGTGTGTGTGTGTGTGTGTGTGTGTGTGTGTGTGTGTGTGTGTGTGTGTGTGTGTGTGTGTGTGTGTGTGTGTGGTGAGAAAGCGACGGTCTGTATGTGTCATTTCCAGTGTTGGAAACTGTTAAAGTGATTGAAGGCGTGAATTAATGTTGGCATTATGCAACAACGAATAAGGAATATTTTTCCTTGTGTATTGCTTGAATGTGATGTGAGCATGCTATCATTTGCTGATTTGGGTTCAAACTTGTCTGTCTATTATCTCTAACAATTTTGAATCCATCAAATATTTGTTGCTACCCTTCCCTCACTTCGATAAACAAAAAGGATTTTGTAGAAAAACACGTCGACATCTCTCAAATCAAGGTGTCAATAAAGGAACATATTGGTATCGCTAACAAAGCGTGTAGCTAACCCTACTTAAGAAAACAGTCAATAGTGTTTTGCAAATAACAGCAGGTTGTAATCTTGTGTTTTGAGTGACTTGTGTTTGTTTTAGGATGTGAAATCAAGCTTTTAAAGCTCACCACATTTCCTTGGAGCTAATAATAAAGTTGAACCGGCATGGGAGGGTTTCAGGTTGTGACTGCATTAGTGTGTAATGAAATAATAAGAGAGTGAGGGAGAGTGTGTGAAGGGTCAAAGTCTGGAGTCAGAAGTGCTGATCTGAAGCCAGTGTTACCGGCCTGGATCTGGATCAGAGCGGTGATGGAAAACAACCACAAAGCCTATTAGAGACCAGACTGAGTGCAGCGAGTAATGCTATTAGCACACACACTCATACCTCATCTTAACGGCCAGTCAATAAGAGTGCTTCTTTGCATCCGTTTGAAATCCTTTCTCCACAGAGCTACTTGAGCCTGGGGCAAAGTGCTGGGTGCCCTCGTGTAAATCACATGTCATTGCGGGAACAGTAGTTGCTTCCTCCTGGAAAGAGGATGTTGGCGCAGAAATGGAAAAGATGCTGCAGGAGTGTGGAGGGACTAATCTTTATGTAATTACAGCTCTAGAGGATGAGCAGGCTCCTGGAGGCTGGAGACAGAGCTGCAGTCGATTAGGAGGTTTCTTTTTACACACAGCCTCCTCCTGCTGCCACACACACACAGCCTCCTCCTGCTGCCACACACACACACAGCCTCCTCCTGCTGCCATTAGCACAGAGGTCTCTGGCAGGATGGCGCTGCATGGCTGGGGATTTACAACACACTTTCTCCCTGCCTTCTTCTCATCCTGGGACACACACACACACACACACACACACACACACACACACACACACACACACACACACACACACACACACACACACACACACACACACACACACACACACACACACACAGCTGATGCAGCAGAAGTTAGAAATGCAACTCTGCCTCATTTGACTGTTTTGTCCCGACAGTTTTTAGCCTCATCATTAAGTGCAATATTTTCTCGGTGTGTGTGTGGCCTAGCATTACTATACTTGTGGGGACCTAAATCTGTTTACAAAGTCACGTGTGGGGACTCTCCTCCCTTATGGGGACAAAATGGAGGTCTTCACCCTAAAATCATTCATTTTAGGGTGAAGACTTGGTTAGGTTTAGGGTAAGGGTTCAGCATGTGTTGGTTATGGTTAGGGTAAGTCTCCAGGAAATGCATGTAAGTCAATGTAATGTCCCCTGAAGTGATGTATACATGGTGTGTGTGTGTGTATGTGTGTGTGTGTGTGTGTGTGTGTGTGTGTGTGTGTGTGTGTGTCCTCTGAAAGAGACTTAACCCTTCAAAGCCACCACGAGGTCTGTATAGTGTTTTTTTTTCTTCCAAATTCTTTATGCCAACCACTTTTTACTGGTCATCTCCATGGACTCGCCACTGGAATGCCAATGTCCACGCCTACATCAAGATTACACCATGATATGGAGCAAACACACACACCCACCCACAACAGACTCATGCATGCCACTAGAACACACCCTGAAGCTCTCCTTCAAAACACACTCGGCCTTGTAAAGTGCTGCAGTCAGCAGAGGAAAGGTCGCGGGCATCTCTCTCCTCGCTCGGTGAAGCCAACATGTGCAGTAATGTCTGTCATTAGCCGGCGGCCCGGCGGGACGACTGAAGCACAGCGAGGAGGAGGAGGAGGAGGAGGAGGAGGAGGAGGAGGAGGATGATGAGGAGGATGAAACCAAAAGGCAAGAGAAATTAGTTGGACCTTTGTAAAAGAGTTGTCCAGAAATTGCAAGAAAATGCTCTTCTCAGAATCCAGATCAATAAAGATGAAGGATGTTTGTTTAAAGGATGAAAGTAATTCATCATTAAATCATTTCTGTAACACTTGCCATAACTATATCTGTTAGTTGTATTGTACAGGGCCAGCATATTGGAAATACGAGACTCCAGGATACTAGCCATCAAAAACACAACATTTCCTGTTTCCAAATGTTCAGCTACAATATATATTTTGTCCAATTTATTCTCCATTCACAATTGCCGAAACTCTGTGGTTGCATTTCCTTCTTTTCAAAACATACAATTATTTGAGAAATACCAGATCCTGCCATTTCTACTAAATCATCAAATTAAAAGATCTAACCAAGCATTTCAAAAACACTCGCCATGTTCAATTGTAGAATATAAAACCCTCATGACTTTAAAATAGACACGTTCCCTGAATCATTATGAAGTGCCTAACTTCCCTGTCCTCAGTGCCAGATACAGTCCTGTGTTTACTCATTGCTTTTGATGATTTTTTTCCCCTTAATGACACTTTTTGGGCTTCCAACATTTCGTGGAAGTGCTTTTGAAGAGGAGAAAACTCAGTGTGCAGAACAAATCACATGTTACTGCAGTTTGCAGAGGTGGAGTGTGACCAAACTACCTACATGCACACACACACGCTGAATGACTCTGCCTCTGGCCACTGGGACAAATGTAAGGTGTCTTTTGGCTTGTGGATTTGAAGGGTACTTCCCAACGCTCTAATAACCAAACAAACACCTTTAAGTAAATGATGGGTATTTTTGATGGAAATACCCAAAGACTACCTTAGAATAGGGCTGCTCGATTACGGCAAAAATCATAATCTCGATTATTTGGGTCAATAATTGTAATTGCAATGATTGAATGCGATTATTAATTGACTATGAAAACATCCATTTATTGGAAAATGTGAACAGTATGTTTTTAACAGTTGATTACCCTGAACTTTAAGTATAATTCAACTGAAAAAGCAAAAAAAAAATTATATAAAAAAAAAAAAGTAATAATATTAATAATAAAATAATAATCGTTTTATATAGATTACGTTGTTTTCGTAATCGTTGCAAGCCATAATCGTAATCACGATTCAAATACGATTAATTGAGCAGCCCTACCTTAGAATCAGTTGGTTATCCCCATAAGACTGTCATGTTATTGTGGTATGGTACTTTACAGTCTCACTGCTCAGTACACACCCTTGAAAAACAGAAATATCATCATCATCATTAAATGTGCAGCGTTTTTCCCCAGACCTAAATTTGCCTTAGAATCAGCTTTTCAGGCCATCAGACAAAAAAGGAACCCTTCGCACAATTTGACAGGCGAGCTTTGAGCTAAAGTGTGAAGGGAATGCAAGTGAAAAATTCCCTGAGGGGGGGGTGAAGTCTACTCACTCTGTATGTGCGAATTTGAGAAAATTAGCTTCTTGTTCAAACCAACTTAAGGCCTAAGCCGCCGCCTGAGGCTCTGCTCTCAGTTATAGCGTGAAGAAGCAAAAAAGTGTATGAATGCATGTGTGGGGGGACTGAAATGAGGCACTGAGCCGTCAGCGAGCGAGCAGGGAGGTCCCCCCCCCTTCCCCCCGTGTGCGGTCGAGTCGGGCTCAGAAACACAATCTGATCCAGGAGGCAAACAGTATAGGTAGCAGACAAGCTGACACACAACAGCTCACTCACTCCGTTGCACAACAACAACACTGGACTGACCCCCCCCAGCCTGCCACACACTATCCTAAACAAGAGTAAGTGGAGGTTTAGCAGAAGCAGGTTAAAGAGACAGACAGAAAGACTGCACTGCTGTCTGATAGTATGCATTTACCAGGCAGAGAGGGTATAATGAGAGACTATATAGCGTGGCATGTTGGGAAATGTAGGATTGAGTTTTATTGGAGTCATACCTGGAAGTCAGGATATCTTGGCTTCTGCAGAGTGAATTTTAACCGCGCTTTTTATATCTGCGTCTTGTTTAATACTAAAATCCTTTGAGTGCTCCTTGAATTTGTCCGAGAGTCTATGAACATTTCTCAGAATCCTAATGACCTAAAAGCAAATGTAAACAAATTTGCTTTTGATTGAAGTGGCAGACAAGTGGCTTGACACATTTTTAGATAACGTTTTTTCCCTCAATTTAGGTGAACCGACTCTTGATAACAACCACTGAGCTCTGCTGCACTACCACCACATTTCAGAACTTCCGATTTGGTCACACGCAAACCCGGAGCCATTTGTTTACTTTTTAAAATGGGAGCGCCCTTCCTCGAGGTTTAGCTACCACACTGCCAACATGTGGAGCGGAGCAAACGCTCATTGTGCGTTGATGTAAACACAACACTGCGTCTCTTGAGATTAATTTATAAATACACTGTTAACCATAATGGAAAGGAGGAGGGATCTGAAACCAGATAATTGTGCAACTCTTACCCAACGTTTCTCTATTTTAATCCCTAGTTCATCTTAAATATGTTAAGCAACAAACAGCTCAGCGCTTTCGTGTGTGTGCGGCTGTGCATAACATAAACAAAGCTGAATACTTAGCAGGCCCCGACTGGAGAGAGGGAGGAGAGGAACGATGAGAGAAAAGTGTTAAGCCGCTAATGTTCAAGTCTGCACTGGCTCTGTCAAACCAACACCATCCTCCAATGGCAACACTGACACACTAAATCCCCAACACTGAAATTGATAACAAAACAGCGACAGGTGATGATGGATCGAGGGGAGTGTTTGCACAAACTCCTTTGTTGTCGTTTTGCTTTCTTCTGAACTGATATTGTTACCGGGAATCACTAAATACTGGTCGCATCCCAACACGTTCTGAGGGGAGAGTCCCACCATCAGTATCCATTTCTATCAGGCACGTGTTCTTGCACGAGGAGTCTTGGCAGAAATTCTCCCGAAGCTGACAGGATGTGACAAATGATTTTGATTAAATGGCTGGAATCCACTTTTTGATATCAATAGGACTATTCTTATGAAACACACACACACACACACACACACACACACACACACACACACACACACACACACAGTCTGTCAGAAGCAGCTGCCACACACCTACAGACACACAAGCGCACACCCACACGTACAACACATCACACATCATCATCACCACCACTCAAGTTGACAGTATTTGTACTTTGGAGACGCCAGTCTGTTTCAAATCCTCTCTTTATCTAATTACTCTCCTTCAGCTTATTATCAGCATATCTCATGTGTGAGCATAAAACAACACTATACACACACACTTCCATCGCTGAACTCTAATCGGGCTAAATCACAGCCTGTATGATAATTACCATGATGACTACTTTCTTCATGGAGAAATGTTCACTGCGTGACTCATGTTAATGTAGGCCTAGTTGAATTTCAGTGTTACCTCCCACTTTTCGCAACAATTAAAAGACAAACATTTCTCATCAACTCTGAGATTTTCTAGCTACCAGAAAATCAGACCTTCCCAACCTGGGCTGTTTGCACACGAACCAGGGTGTGACCACGCTAACACCAGACACTTTAAGATTAACACATTTCTTTCAAAAAAATATTAAAAGCTTAAAGGTCCCATGTCATGGCCATTTCTACTGACCATAATTCCATTGTTGAGGTCTAGAATAGATTTATATTGTGCAATTTTCCAAGCTCACATTGGTTTCTCAAACAGCATCTCTGTGTAGTATGTGTATTCACTCTCTGTCCTAAACGGCTTGTTGGAGCTCCTGCCCCCCCCCCCTCCTTATGAGCCCACTGTGCTCTGATGAGTCCTCCACCGTTACAGCGGAACATTAGTGATTATGTGTTACAATGGCGTTAGCAACCAGAAAATGACACCAGTAATGACAAACAGATGAGAATGCTGCGTGGGGTCTGGGTGCCGTGTGCGAGGCTCGCTGCTGCGAGGAGCGGACAGTGTGAGCTGGGTTCATTTCCTGCTGCGTGGGGTCTCCGAGACAGCGCAAATGGACGCGGGTGCTGCAGCACCCCCATCTGCGAGGCTCCACTAGCAAACTAGCTTATCTGCTGTAGCTTCAGATTTATGATACAGACATAAAAGTGGTATAAATCTTTTCATACAACTCTTGGCAAGAAAGTGAACTTGGTTTCCCCCAAAACTATTACTTTTAAAACCCTAAAACATAAAACATGTTGGTGTGGTAAGACATTAGCAACTAGCCACACTGCTACAAGCTTGCCTATGAAAGGCCTTTACAGATCCAAACATTTCCACTTTCAACCAAACGGTAAAAGCTTTTGAAAACAACATGGACATATTTCCATGTCTCATGTAAATGATGGAGGAGGGCCAAATGAGAACCAAATCCAAAAGAAGCCTGATCTTGTGGTTCCTTGTTCTTAGTCAGCAGGTGTTATCTGTATTAGCAAATATACACATGCATCATCAGAACGGATACAGGTGGACATGACGCAGTAATCCAATTAAAAATCAATCCAACTTGTTTGTTAAGGAAGCTGCAGCCCTGAGCAAAAAGCAGTACAAATAAATACTCCCTGTAATTAAATTAATCAAGCAATGGTGCAATGTCTTTGAGATCGAGGGGTTTTATTGCTTTGTAGCCGTCAGGTTGAGTTAAAGGCTAATGGGAAAAGAAACTAAACAAAAGGAGTCTTACACAACGCAAACACTCAAGGAACTTTCCTTTGAAGAATATTAAAAAGGAAGATAAAAAAAGAGCACCTGAAGGATTTCTCTTGACACATGCTCCCCTCCTTTCTCCCTCTTTTTGTTTTCCCCTTTTCTTTTTTCCAGGTTTTGCACATGGGAGAGGTGAATGGCTGCCCGTCAGCCTGCTGCGAGCCTCCATTGATCTGCCCTGCGTGCGTACACACACACACACACACACACGCACACGCACACGGCTGGAAGCCAGGCGCCTTTGTAGCCAAGTGCTAAGACGTCCAATTCAAAGCCTGAATGTAAGGAAATGCACTATACACACAAGTGACTGCTTAATGAAACAAACGAAACATCAGATGGATGTTTGTTCTGCAGAACAGTCGGACCTTTTTACTCTGAACTGATCCAGGAACAATCGCTCAGCCATGTAAGCAAAGTTTATAAATGTGACTGATAGCCACGGTAACAATTTTGCATTTATATGGCGCTATCAAAAGGGCAGCCGATCCAAACCTAAGTGCTAACTTAAAAAGCCAGCCATAAACCACAGTGACATTTGCATGCTCATTGGCCATTCAAAGGGCAAAGCTGAAGGAGTGGCTTCACAACATCGAGTCACAACACAAAAAGTCTTAAATTAATGAGGTGAGGCTTAAGTTGGCCTTACATTTGCAAGGCTTGAGTGTTCAGAGAGCTTAATTCAGAGTTTTTACTTTGCTTGATGAAATGTCAATGTCTCAGGAATACGAGGCTTATGTGATACAGTCGTATGAATCACATTTGGTAATAGCACATGTTTGTTTACATTTGGCTGATCACATGGGATTACAAGACACTGCTTTATGAAAACATATTTTCGCGCATAAAGTAGGGCTGAAACAATTAATCCATAAATCTATAAAAATAAATTGTCCTTTAAAATGGATGCAGGTTAATGTGAATTTACTGGTTAGACTCCTAACTGTTTCTTCCTTATTCGTGGACTAAATTAATATCCACAACTTTCTCTGCTTTTAAACAAACATTATATAAAATAAACCAAGTT